AACTACGCACACCAAGCGGAATCTTTAAATACTTTTAAACATGCGTATAGGTCGTGCTAGAAATGCATACTCATCTATTGCAAATTCGGAATATTGAGTGTTAAGTCTGGTCGATCATTAGGCTGATAGATTCAATGTGCTTCCTGAATGTAATCACGTGATTATTGGCGCAATTTATATCTTAAAGAGCAATGAACCAGAATAATTTCCACACTGAGGTCGTTGATTTGTGTTTCACGATGATGATGATGATGCATTTCATGGACACGCATCGTGCACGAGATTTCAAACATCGTGTCACACTGCACGCGTTCATATAATCCCGGTAAAAAATATATATAATTGACAAAACGCACATTAGCGTGGGTGGCTTATCATTAACACTGATTTTCCTCTGCCCCGGTATTGTGACATACACAAATATAGCCCCTTGATTCTCGGGGCTGCCTGTGTGCGAGAAACCGCGAGCTAACTTCACTGAGCTCATTGCACAAGAACCCAGCCTTGACAATTGGGAAAATCATCACCGCGTGACTCGGCAACTTTTCTTGTTCATGCTGTTGAAAGCTGAAAGAGCCAAGATTGATGAGAACAGCACAAAGAAGTGGACCCTTTCTCCAGAAACGTGCACACACCCCGGCCCAACCCTGACCACCGCAGCCACAGCCCCCGGATTACCCAATGCCGCTCAATTACGGAGCACAATAACCATTGTGGCCATTACCACCCGGTTCAGCTGAGCCTATTTGTAGGGTGACAGGTGTAAGGTGTGGGGAGTGTGTGGTGAGTGTGTGTTCGACTCTTCATTTCCTGCCACATTTTTAAACAAAGTTCCGCCAGCAGACAATGAATAACGCCTGGGTGACAATAATTTTGAAATCCATCCATGCATATACACGGAGTCCGTAACACTATTTATCCATGAATGCACGTGTTGTAATTTGACCGAAGTTTGAGCTAGAGTTGGTACGAAACAAAGACAAAGATCCCCCGTGTAGCCTGTAACAGACTGTTGGGGCAAGTGCCGTTAGCGTGCACCTATGAAGGCCGGCACGGCACACGAGGGGGTGGGTGGCCAACACCACGCCCGGCCGCCTTTGTCTCCCCAGTGGCGATGTTTACACACCGCACCAGGTACATCATTTGAGGCTGAGGCCCATGACCTATTCAAGATAATCGTCACCGGCGTTGGCCGTGGGCAGTGCGCTAACCGCTACACGACCGCTCCCCACGTTTTCTCGGTCGGCAAACACGCAAACGCGCACTTGTTAAGATGTTATCTGACGAGTCTCGCTTTCCTGAACTTGCACACTTCCACCGTGGCGTCACTCGTCATATCGAGATTTGAGAGTTCTCAGCTCCGATTGTTTACAACGCCTGCGTTGCGTGCCGTCGAAGATCACCTCGAAGCTTTTGGGTTTGTGCAAAACACAAACTTGTCCGTTCAATCCGTTGCCTGTAATTTATATCCGTATTTGCCTCCTGCGAGTGCATAATTTCAGCAGCATTGATTCATTGATTCGGCACAAGCGAACTCTGGCCCGGCAGGGCTTCCTTGAATCAATGCCGGTGTACCGCCAGATGTTATAAGAAAATAACGCTCTCGTTAAGATGCCCATGGGGGTAGTGCCGGATTATCCGAGTAGCACAAGTAGTTACATATTGTAGTAGCTACGGGCCCCGCACTTTCAAGGGCCCCGCGTTAAACGCTTTCAATTTATCAATTCCGGTTCAGTGATTCTGCACTTGCTCTATTACTATAGTACTATACTGCCCTTCGACTTTTATGAACGACTGGGTGTTTAAGGTTATCAATTTGACGTATTATCTGGCTGTATAGCAAATGAAACCATACAATTAATTTACTTTGCAAGTAAAACATGTGTGTTTTAAATTTGTTTTAGGGCCCCTTCATAACATATTCTACAGGCCCCGCATTAGCTTAATCCGGCAATGCATGGGGGGGGGGTCCTAGTTTTGCGCAAAATGAGGTGTCAAACTAGGACCCAGTGAGTGGGACGCAAAATTTAGAATGCGTGAAAAGATGACTACCTCCGGACCACATTTAGCGCAGCGCAATCTCAGCTCCAGAAGCATCCATGGATTGCAAAAGGTGGTCTTCGATTGCAGCCACAATGACTCGGCACATTATGAAGGTCTCCTGACATCGTAAGAGATGTTTATCAACGTGGACATTACGCAAACATAATGTGGGTAGGTTGACACGGGGCTGCGTGCCGTTTTACCCACAGTGCAAAGTCCTCCGGCGTTTTGGAAAAGGCCACGATACATCAATCAAACCCATGCCACTAATTGTTTTTTCCACGACTACCTGTGAGTATTATTGTCACGGCACATGCACTTGCAAGTTTATTAACTCTGCCTAGCGAGTAACAAAGCCCAGTCAAAAACAATCCAAATCTTCTTGGTTCTTTCGGTAAAGTCACGTAGAAGGGAAATAATAAAATAAAACATAATAAAATAAAATTCTCATGACGTTTCAGCCACAACACAAGCAGGCCGAAACGTCGTGAGAATTGTATTTTATTATGTTTTATTATTTTATTATTTCCCTTCTACGTGACTTTTACCGAAAGAACCAAGAAGATTAATCCCTGCAGTAACGAAAGCTTTAAAACAATCCAAGTCCCAAAGGAAAGCGAGACGAGAGAAAACCTGGAGGATCACGATCTTTGGTGAAACTCCTACCAGGGGTGGGGAACCTTTTTTTTGCCAAGGGCCATTTGGATATTTATAACATCATTCGCGGGCCATACAAAATTATCAACTTAAATATTAGCCTGTTATATTTGATTTCAAGCTTTCGTGACTGCAGGGATTCATATTCTTGGTTCTTTTGGTAAAGTCACGTAGAAGGGAAATAATAAAATAATGAAAATATAAAAAATAAAAAATTCTCACGACGTTTCGATTGCAACACAAGCAATCGTCATCAGGTGTTAAATCCAAGAATATGAATCCCTGCAGTCACGAAAGCTTTACATCAAATATAACAGGCTAATTTTTAAGTTGATAATTTTGAAATCCACAGCAAGAATATTTGAAAATAAATTCTTGCTGTGGATTTCACACCTGATGACGATTGCTTGTGTTGCAATTGAAACTTCGTGATAATATTTAATTTTTTATATTTTTATTATTTTATTATTTCCCTTCTACGTGACTTTACCGAAAGAACCAAGAATATCTGTTATATTTGGTCAAACATTTAATTAACTCACCCCTAATGCGATGGCTGGAATTGCTTATCTTTCGTGAGGCGTGTGATGTTAGCTGGTATTGATTATGTTGCTGCTACTCGCAACTGCTTTTACAGGTTTGCTCCGAGGAGTATTGAATTTCGAGTCCCGCCTGCAGTTGCCTTAGCAGGCCACACCAAATGATTTCGCGGACCTTGTACGGCCCGCGGGCCGGACGTTCCCCATCCCTGTGACCTCAACGAATCTGCTGGGCCTGCGAAGTGGCCAGTAGGTGGCAGTACAGCAAGGATCATTGCATCCATCCGCGTGGGGGTTGTGAGCGTTTACCGACGAGGTGGGTCAGTCGCGTTTGTTATTGTTGTTGTACTGGGTGCTCATTGCCGACAATGGCCAAACATCACAATTGCAGGGCCCTCCTGAAAACCCGGGGTCTTGGTACTCAGTCGGGACTTTCATGGTCAAATAAATAAATGGCATTGCAGTTTCACGACCGTCGAGTCAATGTTAATGGGAAATTGACAGCAAATCTTGCAAAGTCGTGGTTGCATACGCGCGGTTACTCGGAATACAATGCACAGTAACATTGTGCAACATTGGTGTCAATCCACTGCTGCTAGACGCCATGCGGGTCGTGGAGGGTGTACGGCCATACTTAACCACACTGGTCAGCGCGGGTTGGTGAAAGCGGGGAGCATAGACGTTGGAGCTTAGCACAGTACAATTAATGTTGCTGGACTACCTCCTGCTAGCAACGTACTTGCAATACAATAAAAATGCAACTATCCCCCGTATAGCCTTAACATACTTGAGGGGCAAGTGCGGTTAGCAAGCACCACCTATGAAGGCCAGCACTGTGGCACACGAGGGGGTGGGTGGCCAGCACCACGCCCGGCCGCCTTTGTCTCCCCAGTGGCGATGTTTACACACCGCACCAGGTACTCATTGGAGGCTGAGCCGGTTCAAAAAATCGTCACTGGTGTTGGGAATCGAACCCAGGTGGCCAGGTTTGTGGCGCAGCGCGCCAACCACTACACTACCGCTCCCCAGAGTACACAACACAGGACACATGCAATTACTGCACTGCTCCATTATACACTACACCTAAGGGCATTGCGTGCATCTCACTCTACTGCATATTTCCATTTGCTGTGCAAAGCCAATAAACAACGAAAAATCAGTTTGCACTTTGGGGAAGAAAAAAAACCCCTGCACGTTGTGCACGTTTAAAGAAAACAATGTTTAAGAATGTAAAATGAAACATCTGCCAAAGTTTTATTGCTGCTTGGTTAATCATTGCACAGCGCCGGAGCCAAACGAGTGATTACTTCTTTCTGAAGATAATGCAGTTCGCATGAGTTATCTCACACACGCACAGGAATTCACTCACTCCTATTGGTGTTAAGTGTAGAATGTTCGAGCAAAAGCACCGAGTCTCAAACTCGTGTCAACAAAAAACGTCCCCGGCAACGACTTCCACGCAAGAAGGTTACGCAATGCCGGATATTGGGGTGCGCAAATGTTGAACCACCACCACCACCAATAACAACCACCACCAACCACCACCACCACCAACCACCACCACCACCAACAACCACCTTTCTTAACCGAGTAGGGAGTGAGATGGCTGATTTTATGGTAGTGGCTAAATTGGAGAGGGGAGAGAGAGAGGGCTTTCGAGAATGTGGTAAGTTTGGGGCGGAGAGGGTGGTGGTGGTGGCTGGGGAGGGGTTTAGTCTGGGGGTGGTGTTGAAGGATATGGGGGGAAGGGCGGTGCACATGGAAAGTGGAGGGCGAGGTTGTGCAATGTCAGGACAGCCGAGTATAAATACAGCAGCCGGCTCCGCTTGGTGACACTCTCCACTCTCTCTCTCTCTGGGACTCTGCAAGGTTCTGGTCAAGTCCATCTACATATCTCAGCCAAGACTCCCAAGGTAAGAACTTTCTCTGCTTTTTACAATTCCGATCGGTGCGCATTGTGAATGTTGCGCTACTTTGTGAGCTAAATCGCGCAATGACACTGCACGCGTAAGGACACGGCTATTTTTAGTTGATATTTAGTTTATTTTTAGTTCATATTTAGTTGATTTTTAGTGCGTTGCTTTCAACGTGGCCAGAGCTTGCTGAGCAAAAGCACACGCGAGGCAAGACGTTGTAAGTTAGTTTTACCAGTTTAAATGGTCACTAATTGAGCATTGAAAGGTAACTTTTTGGCACTAGTGCGATGCAAAAGTCATTTACGTTCATTGTTCGTATATCAAGGGGTGGTTGAAAGGAGGAAATAAACTTCCCAATTCATGGATGGCGGCGACAATGAACGCTTTGACTTGGGTACGCGACTGCATTTGTGATGTTCGTGTAATTAAATTCGAGCCACGTGCGTTTCGGGGTGTATTGCGAATTGTTGGCTTTCGAATGAATTACGGCAGTGCTGATGACGGGAATGTGTACACGCGGCACATTTTAATGAAGGGGAAAGAAAAATATTAACATATTTCGCTGTATATGGCTTTCTGCGAGGCGGGGTTTCCAATGCGTTGCTGCAAACCGAGCTACCCAGCGCTGATGCCCGATTTCCAGATTTACCAGTTCTCTCTCTTGTTCATAATAGCTCATACTGTAAAGTCGTTGCACGCGACACGCACCTGATGATTGTCAGAGAAAAAAACAAACGCACCCACCCTCATTGTGGCATCAGAGTCCAAGGTGAATAGGCCACGGTTCAAGGTGAAGTCTTGTTTAACAGTTGTCACTTTTTTTTACGGAATTCCGCCGCATTCAAGAGCGACCCAGTAAAACGGCAAGCAGCCTTTGGCTAACATTGGGCCAACATGTTTACTGGGTGAATGTGTGTGTGTATGTACTGTGTTGAATCTTCTTTCGCACCGTACGTAGCCAACCGTGCTAATGGGAAGACGACAACGCGACAACACACAGAGCGGTTCTAAAGAAAGAGTTTTCAATCGATTAGATTTTTTAAAAGTGAAAGCTCCTAGGGGTGCCTCCCGATATCGGACAGCACTTGCCCCCACTACCTGTGTGTTGTATTTGCGTGGAGCTGATTGATTTTGTAACCGCAGTAAGGTAAAGCAGCCGTGGTTGTGCGAGGTGCTACGAACTGGCGTCTGGAACCACAAAGTTTCGTGTTTTTACTGTTGGGAACCTCTGGTTACAGCAGCCCACAGGGGATTATTGTGTCCGTCCGTCGTGCAGGGTGGGGTGGGGAGGGGAGGGGCAGGGAGGGGAGGGGCAGGGAGGGGAGGGGCAGGGAGGGGAGGGGCTGGGTGGGGAGGGGCTGGGTGGGGCTGGGTGGGGCTGGGTGGGGGGTGGCGAGGGAGGGGTGGGGCTGAGTGGGGAGGGGCTGGTCACCCCGTGGTGCCCTTATAAAACTCAACGTTTAACCTACTCACGCCAGCTTGTGCCCGCCCTCAGTCGGGCATATTTGCGGAATACACCACGCCGCCGTTGACCTTGGCCATTGACCGAGCAACCCAACGTTCATATCAGCTCCCTCCGCATGAATGTGTTTGCAGCCTTTATCGGCTGCTTGCGTTCGATGCAGCAGGGTGTTGTGAGTTCAGCCCGTTCCTTCTAGGGGTCCGCTTATCTTCCGGGTGACTTGAGGACACAAAGCAGACGACGCACCCTGTAATGTAATCTCGCCACGGTGGCTAGGAGATGTTAATTCCCTCGCCTGGTGTACAGGAGGTTCGTGGGTTTGATCCCGGCCCTGACGCCTGCTGCTGTGTATTTGGAGTTTGCGTGTCTCTCTCTCCCCGTGGTCGCGTGGATTTTTGTCCGGCTTCCTCTGGTTTGTTCCCTCCACATTTAAAATCAACATCTCGCGTTTAAAGCGTTTGGCTTCAAAATATGTCCACGTGATAAGCCACTTTGTTGAGCAATCATTTGTGGCCAGGTCACTCGTGAAAAACAGCTGCATAGCTCAGTGGGCCTTGCATGGTAAAAAAAAAAGTTAGTTTTAGTTTATATCTTTGCTAATTCTGTAAAAAAAAACTTCACTGTTTAAAAAAGAAAGTTCGCGTCTCCTCTAGAATTCTGGAACCCTTTCCCAGGAGACATCGTCAATGAATGACACCGGCAGCACGACAGCCCATGGCAGCTGTTGATTTCTTGTTTGTCGTTGGAGCCAGGGAGAGCAGAGGCGACGTTGAATGGCCCAGTTGAGTTGCGTTGCTTCCAAGTTCTCTGTGTTTTTTTCCATTGTGTGTGCAATGGCCATAGCAGGTCAACTGACAATAAAGACCACTAATCCAACGCTGTACATTTGTATATATATTTTATTTTTTGAAGACAAGCTTAACGTAATAGAACCATCTACTTACCAACAGTTTGTAAAGACGAGTTTTTCAACTTCTGCACGTGCACAACTCGCTTACGCATTCCTCGGCGTGGGTGTGTGTGTGTGTTGACGGTCTGATTTGGTTGTGTCCGGCACTGTGGTTGTGTGCAATAGGTGAGGATACATTTGCTGGGTTGTTTGTGTGTGTGTGGCTGTGATCCCAGTGGGGAGCGGTGTCATGCATTTAGGGCTAAGTCGACCTAGGGGAGGTCACAGGATAGACTCACCACAGTATTCCATTGATACAATGCGTGGCCGACAATTGGTTACCATGAGTAATTTGGTGCGGTACCCTTTAAATGTGTAAGAAGAGCCCTTGTGTTACTCCACTGCTGGATGAGACCTCCCCACGCTGTACGGATCTTGGGGCTTATTTGACTTTCGCAAAACTCTGGTGTGTAAACACTCGCAATGAGGGAGCTCCTTCTGTTTCCTCGAGATAAATCCCTTGTTTTGTGTTTGTGTGTTTTACAAGTAGTAATACTCGCGCCGGCTTGAAACGTTCTAAGAACTGGATTGATTTTGCGAGGTGCTCGCAGAGATCCTCTTGAGAGATCTGGACACGGGTTTCATCGGCGAGCTCCTCCGGCAGTCGAGGCTGCGCTTTGGACGTGGGGTCATGCGGCCCGCATGAGCCTGGCCACCACTTGCCCCGGAACTGCTGCTGCAGCTTATTCTTTGGGTCTTTCGGTAAAGTGACGAAGATGGGTTCAAAGAAAATAACAACAAAACACATTCCTGCGGAGGGAGCTGGTAGGAACGTTGGGTTGCTCGGTCAATGGCCAGGGTCAACGGCGGCGTGGTGTATTCCGCAAATGTGACCGACTGTGAGGGCGGGCACAAGTCTTGCAGCACACGTGTGTGCAGTGCCCTGTGCAGAAATGTGTACAGTGCTCAAGTAAAGGGTTTATTTTGACCGGGCAGGGCCCACTGAGCTGTATACGATTCGGAAGTGACCTTGCCTCGAATGATGGCTCAACGAATTGGTGGCTTAAATGTAGAGATTGAGTGCCGTGGCCTCCCTCCCCACCCCTCCCATATTTAGAATGCACGACGGGCACAATAATCCCCTGTAGGGCTGGTTCCTACCAGTATAAAAATATAACAAAAACGACGACGTTTCGATCGCAACACAAGCGTTCGTCATCCAGCGCTTGTGTTGCGATCGGAACGTCGTAGTTTTTTGTTGTTATTTTTGGTTTTTATTTTTGGTTATTTTCTTTGAACCCATTTACATGACTTTACCGAACGCCCCAAAGAATATGAATTTCTGCAGTCACGAAACCTTTAAGTCAAGGTTTCTGCCTAGCGGCTGTGACGACACTTCAAGAAGAAGAGGCTTCTGGAGTTGGTGTGGTTTTTTTTGTTTTACGTGGCTGATCTGGAAGCGAGGATAACTTTGCCTTTTTTCGTGTGGTGATTGCCCACAGCTACCCGAGCCGACCAAAAAAATGCCGACATACAAGCTGACGTACTTCAACTTGAAGGGACGCGCGGAGCTGTCCCGCTACATCTTCGCGTACGGGGACATCAAGTACGAAGACCAGCGCGTGGACCAAGCCGAGTGGGCCAAAATCAAGCCCAGTAAGCGTGCCCCCCACACCCCCCCAACACACCCATTGACATTCTAACACGTAGTTGTAGTTTAGTAATAGTAGTAATATTCATAATAATAGTCGTAATTAGTAGTAGGTTTTCGCAACCAATATTATCCATTGCAAGGGTTTTTTTTTTCCTGGGCTTGGTTCACGTAAATATAAACGTGTCATAATCTTGATTTTAAGCTTTCGTGACTGCAGGAACCCATAATCTTTGGTTCTTTCAGTAAAGACGTGTCATTTTCTGGCTATCCGCCTGATGTGGTTGTCTGTTTTTGCAATCGCCAGCGAAATATCGCAGTGCTTGAATTGCAAATGCTGCGGTGGGTTCACTCTCCAACACAACCGACTGAAGCAGTCGCCAAGTGGCCCGTTTTGTGTACGCGACACCCATCGACGCACACGTGTGTGTGTGTGTGTGTGCGCGCGCAAAAGCCCTTTAGCCCGTCGAATGTGAAGTTTCTCTGCAAAGACCGTTGGTGCAAGTGCTGTTAGCGAGTAGCACCTAATGAAGGCCAGCATGAGAGGGTGTGGGTGGACAGCACGACGCCCGACCGCCTTTGTCTCCCCAGTGGCGATGTTTACACGCGGCAACCAGGTAGTCATTTGAGACCTGAATTGACCCTACGGGAGGCCCAGGACCACACACACACACGGTATTATGTGCTGGTGTGCGTGCCATAGTGATATCCACCCAGCAGTTTTAAGTGTACACATCACGACTGTAAACAATGGGCAGGTTATGTGTGGTGAGCTAAAGGGTGGGGTGCTCCCACCTGCCTTGCATGGACAGAATAGATGACAAAGCCCTACAGAGGAGCAGCCCTTGACCTCTGTAGTGGAGTCTCCCTTCTCGGCAGTAGAGTGGCCATGATCGGGACATTGCAGGGCTGCACCTTTGCCACCTTTCTGACGGCGAACTCCGGTCATCCTCGTAGCAGATTTTGGCTGACCATCGAACAAAGACGGTCACCGCATCACGTGGCGCTTTCAGATGCGCTTCTGCTCCGGTGTTAGGAAGCCACTGGAGGCTGCTACGCACTTTTAAATCGTCATCTAGATTGAAATCTCATTTTCTTTAGAACTGCTTCTTGTGTTTGGCTCGCTGTCCTTCCCTGCACCTCCGATTAGCTTGGTTGGCCACGTACGCTGCCTAAGGAGTTCATCATACGTACATACATGCTGCCCTTTGTTAGTTCATCCACTGCTGGATCAAGCCCCCCCCCCCACCCCTCTCTCTCTCTCCCACGCTGTGTTGGTGACTGAGGGGTCGGGTTGGTTGTTTATTCATACTTTACTACACTGGTCATTGCCGGTGGCTGGCAGGTCTGGTTCAGGTATCACTCGCCACTCGGCCTTGCATCGAACCGAAGTCAAAAGTGTAAACATTTCACTTCCTCCTGGCGGACTCGGCTCCGTAGTCTCCTCCTTTCGGCTTTCCGTGTGGTTTCTGGCACACTCGCACTAATTCTTGGCAGTATAAATAATCAGAATTGAATGATTGTTCTTATTAGTCGTCGTGGCTTGTCCACTGCTGGATGAAGGCAATCCCCTCCCTCGTATCGTCGCCATCCTAACCTGTCCTGCGATGCCACCGCCCGTTCTCTCCTTTAGCTGCCGTTTTGTTCATCGGCTGCCCTCTTCCCTTCTAACGGCAGTCTTTTTTTTTCTTCCCCAAGAACTAATACGTTACGCAAATCCTTCACGGCTTATCCCGAACCAAACTCTCTGCCAATGAGCAGATCTGCCGTGCAGAAAAAAGAAAGACTTTTGTTCGCTTTATTCTTGCTGTAAATAAATATTTTTTTTCTCGAAGTACGATTTACATATGATTACATTATGCACGGCGGCCTCCCTCACTGCGCTTGCATTAACAAGCCGGAGACATTGCTCATTGCAAATACAATTGCCCACTGTTTTTCTTTTTAATATGCATGTACTGAGTAAAATACCGATGTTTGTGTCACCGTGAGCAGCCACCCATGGGATTAAATGGGCCTCTCAACTGGAATGGGTTCGTGACCTCTGCCCAGTCGCCGATCAATGACCGCACAGAATAAGAATAAAAAAATATTTTAAAACACCACATCTTATTAAATATTTGGTTCTGTACTTAATTTGGCTATATACCATTGTTGATAATAATTAAACGCTCCGTTTGACCGGCAGTGCTGTCTGGTAGCTGTAAGAGGTAGGTAAGTGCTGCACCCTTGTGGTGGACAAGCAGCTGCGGTAGCACTTCTGTGGCGTCTCTCTCCAAAGTCCGCTCCCTCCTCGTGCGCAAAGGGGTTGATGGACCGCCCCGTGAGGGATCCGGATGTCTTGCCACGTGATGCCGACAGCACAACCAGGATAACAATTTGGGCACGAAGACGACGAGTTAAAACGAGACGGTTATCTATGGGGGACCCCTTTTTGCCGCTATCGAGATGGTGAGAACAAGGAATAGGCGCTTATCCTTTCCGGCAATAATACTACGGGGAGGTGTTTATAAGATGTTCAAACCACCAAATGGACACGTACTTGCAAGTCATCAAGTCTGCATGAACCACACGTGTTTTGTGGTAAAACACTCAAACAAACATGCTTTGATGATGATGATGAGATGTGCATTGGCCTTGGAACTGATGGCCTTCACTAGAGACGGCCTCCGTTACGGACTTGTCTCGCCACCGCTGTTAGACCCGGAGGCCAACGCCAAAAGGTGATGTGGACAAATGGCAATGCAAATATCAACGCATTCGTAGCTCGAGTTGAGCCATTGTATCTGTGCAGAACATGTGGGGGTGGGGGGGGGGGGGGGCCTTTTGGCGTCCTCTGGTCTCACACCGTTTTGACACGAGGCTCAAAAGAAAGCTGTCTCTGGCGTGGACCAATCAGTTCCAAAGACGATGCATATATTATCAGAGTGTTTTTTGTTTGCATTCTGACCACAAGTATTGTGGTTAATGCAGACATGATTCCTTGTAAAAGGTTTCAGTTTGGTGTTTTAACATCTTAACACCTATTTGTTGCCAGAAAAAATGGCAACCCGATCCAGACCAATTCACTCGAGCATTTCTCTTTTGTACAGTCGAGCAAAGTCACATTTTCTGATCCGAATGAACCCGGGACCCTCGGGTGTCGATTGATGATGAGTGACACATGACCCATGACCTTTGACTTGAGTCGCCTGACACGCAACAACCACGTGACCTTGCTAATCACGTGCGGGTTTCAAGCCAAGCAATGTCTTGAGTAGGTTGATGCAAACCAGTTTTACAGAACGGGCAGCACCCACACTTGCTTGTACGTTATTTTATAATCGTGCATCGTTACGTTTTAATGACCGTGCATCGTTCTGCTTTCTTCCACCTCCTTGCTATTCTCTCCACAGCCCTGCCCTTCAAGCAGGTGCCCGTGCTAGAGGTGGACGGCAAGATCCTCAGCCAGAGTTTTGCCATCGCTCGTTTCCTGGCCCGGGAGGCAGGTGAGATGTGCAACTGGTCACGGGGGGTGGGGGAGGGAACGGAGGGGCGGTTTGGGCCGGGTGTGTAGTGGGCACACGGGTGTTGCGGTGTGCACGCCTGGAGCGCCGAGATTTGGGCTTCCCCAGTCATACTCCAACATTCCACACTGTTGAGGGCCGTCCTCGCGAATCGTCCATCAGTCGTCATCGGTCGGTCGTGACCACTCCACCGTCGGATGAAGGCCTCTCCAAGCCGCCGCTACAATCCGCACGGCCGATTTTAGCGCAGCTTGGCTACGTACGGTGCGAAGGAAGTTCAACATACACACGTACATCCTTCAGTCTCGGAATTCAACAATCCCACCCAGCGCATGTACACGAGATGATCTCATTTGCTCCAGTCTCCTTGGTGGCCGACCTCTTGCACTTCCTTGCTCTCCAGCTGCCACTCCAACTTATCCTTCGCCTACCGGCCAACGTCCCTGCCCAGGCCCAACTGTTTAACAATCAAAACCGTGTCTACTGAGTAGGCCCTTTGTTCTCTAATTGGCACTCTTGTGCAGTGTAATACTGTATGGTATTTGCAAGGCATGAAATCTAAACGGATAATACATTTTGCTCTGACCGGGCATAATATGCTCTGTCCACTAGGAGGCAGTCGTGGAATATTGGTGGCGCTTGTTAAAACTGCAACGTTTTCCCGTGGTGGAAACTGAGTAATGAAAACAACATTTGAGCAGACAAGGGTCCGACTTGTTTTATTTAAGCAGGGGAAGTCTCCAGATCGGTTTCGGCTTTCCGAGTCTCATCGGCAGGGAGTCAAGAGCCGAATGGCTCACAGGGCTATACCTAATAAATTAACTTTGAACTTTGAGGGTGTGTGGCCTTGTTTCCCAAACTGCGGGAGCGATTCTTTTAAGGAAATCTGGATTCGGGTCTTCCCCTAGGTTTGCTCGGCCTAAACTTCGTGATGGAGGGGGTCCCTCCATTCTGCCTCCCGGGCTGACCTGAGCTCGAAGAGATTTTACGAGCGCAGAGGACTGGATAGTTTTTTTGTATCGAAGTTTCACCGATGTGTTTTATAAAGATTAGCCGGAGAGCCGGGCTATCCGATTAGTTCAATAATTACCCTGTCTGTTATCGATTGGATGACTCAACTAGTCTGATAACGCTGAAAACATTGTAAAGGTTTTAGCCTCTGTTCTTGCTCGTGATGGGCGACGTTTGGTACAGTCATCAGCATTCTTGTGATAAACTAAAATTGTTTTTTAACATGTAGAAAATGTCTTTATTTACTAAAGCATAATAATCAGCCGCGTCACGTTCGAAGTCGGGGGGCGGGGGGGGGGTCCTGCCTTTTGGAAGGCCGGCAGTTCGGTGGCCACACTTTTTTGTCAAGGCACCCCGAGTCCTCGGCCCCAATCAAGCAGAGTACTGGTCTGCAAACTACAAATTATTTATCGATTTCAAGATCACGATGTCACCACCGTGGCCAAAGCCGTTGAAGCCGCCCACCGCTGCCCCCTCGCCCAACGCCGCTCGAACCCTCCTCCGCCAGGTCCCGCAGCTGCTGCTGTGCCGAGGAGAGCGCAGCGACCTCCGTGCCCCCCCCCACTACCCCCCGACAGTGTGTCTCCTCTTCCCATTCATCGCCGGACTCGTTTAACTTTTTAAATCCTTTATATTAAGTTCGCTTGCTTGCTTGCTTGCTTGCTTGCGCGCTTACGACCATGCGAATCTTTCGGTCGTTTTTTAACCCACTTCCCGTGATCCAATCGAGCTGACATTTTGCACGCAGACTCGTTGTGCATAACAATGAATTTTTGTGAAATTTTTTTTCCAAAATTTTACACTTTTTAGGAAAAAATAAATTATATGTAATTACCAATTGCTTAATGGTGGTAGGCAATCATCTGACCCATAGGTGGCAGCCATCTCAAGCTAGAGGACGAGAGGACTGTAGCCACCACGCATATAAAGGATTTATAGTGAAAAACTTTGTTTTTACGGGTTAATTTTTTTCCATCTTGATTTTATGCTTTCGTGACTGCAGGAATCCATACTCTTTGGTTCTTGCGGTAAAGTCACGTAGGTAGAAGAAATAATAGATCACGACGTTTCGATCGCCGCACGAGCAATCGTCCTCAGGTGGGATGGAGAAACAGGCTGCTGAAACAAGTCCTCATATCTTCTTGGTTCTTTCGGTAAAGTCACGTAGAAGGGAAATAATGAAATAATAAAAATAAAACATGATTAAATATTCTCACGACGTTTCGGCCACAACGCAAGCAGCCGTCCTCGGGTGATGAACAGGTCTGTGGGAAAGACAGATGAATCCCTGCAGTCACGAAAGCTTTAAATCGAAAAGTCCTTATACATTACCGTCCCAGTTTTGTACAGCCAACGCACACACATAGTAATAAGCTCGGGCCTGCTTCCTGGTCTTAATAGCTGCTCGCTAATGACGGAAGAGAGAGAAAAAAAAACCTTCAATCGACACACACATTCATATTCTGCTTTGGAAACAAACGCTTTCTTGAATTAGATTGCGGACTAAACGCACGCACACCGCCGATGTATCGGGTCAATGCTGGGTTTTTCCATTTTGAAAAACTTTAATAACGAAAGTGGCCGTGGTTTTTTCTTTCTTTCTCCTCCTCCTCTGGTTTGCTTGGCAAAAGAAACTTGTTGACATTGCACACCGGCGAGTGCATTTCGGTATTGCTCGACGCTCGTCAGAATACAAATACTGACGGAGCAACGAATGGGAGCAATTACGTGGAATGCTGCTCTACCCACAATGTTCTTCAACTTCTTTCATCAAACATCCACCAACCAAGAATCATTTCAATTCGTAGTGGCATCTAAATGCAACCAGCATCTTGACGTTCAGGAACGGTGTAGGGCGGCAGTCATCATCCTTACTTTATTTCTTTTTGCCAGGAGAATTTGGACACGACTCGGTGCACAGTTTACCCAGTAAACGTGCTAGGTTGACCAATCGTTGAACCCACGTTGACCCAATCTTCCACGTTTACTGGGCTTTTTTGTACAGTCAATCTACCCATTGAATGTTTCCCAACGTTGCTGCTGACGTTCATGTGGCAGCGGTGTTCATCGGCAAAAACTGCAACCTAAAACGCAACAAAATATGGGCAGGAGACATTATTTCGATGGATCATGGCTTGACATTCGCAGCCCGACCCCATAAAAAACACAACAACTGTCATTCGCTACTAAGTGGTGGTGACGTCACCACGACGCTTGTGCCAGGCCACTGTGCACCTTGAGGCCACGTGAAGTGTCGAATGCCCGCTGGCAGGAGGTCACGGGGCAAACCCAGGTGCCACGGATCGACTGACTGAGATGACCGAGATGACTGGCTGATGCACCACCTGTGCCCCCTACTGTGCCAAGTTGCTGTGCTTTAGCCAAAAACACCCACACACACGCATTACGGAATTCACCTTCCCCGATCGCTGCGAGCACCGGCGGTGATTGCTCGGCAACGCGAGCGTGGCGCCGCGCTCACCCCTGGCGGCGCGCGTCGTTGGCGCCCTCTGCCTTGCGATGGATGGGTGCAGGGGTCGCCGGCAAGACGAGTCTGGAGCAGGCCCAGGCTGACATGTTGGTGGACACCATCTTCGAACCCGTCGTGCTCGTCCCCTGGCGTGAACAGGACGAGGCTGTCAAGGTGATTGCCCCCCTGTGTGTGTGTGTGTTCACTCGTGTGTTCACGTGCGTATGTGAGGGGAGCGGTAGTGTTGCAGTTAGCGCCGCTGCGCTACCAACCCGGCGACCCGGAGTTCGATTCCCGCTCGTGGCCAACACCGGTGACGAGTATCTGAACCGGTTCCTGGGCTTCCCCTAGGTCGACTCCTGCCAGCGAGCCTTCGACACTTCACATGGCCTCAATGTGCACCTAGCCTGGCACAAAGTGTGCACCTAGCTCATGGTGACATCGCCACCACTTAGTGGCAAATTGTTGTGTGGTTGTGGTTAGCATGCTGCACTATGCACCTGGTGATTTGGGTTCGATTCCCGCTCTCGTCCACCAACACCACTGACAATTATCTGAACAAGTCCTCGGCCTCGCCTAGATCGAGCCGGGCGTGGTGCTGGCCACCCACCCCCCTCGTGTGCCGTGCCAGCCTTCATAAGTGCTTGAAAAGTTTGTTGAGGCTATAGGGGGGATCTTTGCATATGTGTGCTGGACTACCGTGTGCTTTTGTAACGTTACCCTGGTGGTAGTGTGGTGGTGTTGATGCCATTGTTGCTTTTGCAAAAATGTAAGTGTCCCTCCTCACTGATGGTTTCGTCCACTTTAGTAATAACAATTCCCTATACCCGGCAACACAATTGCGGCAACGATTGTGAAAGTCTTCAATGAGTTTTAAGACTTTTTCAGGATGCTTGAGCCAATTCCATTAATGGGGTGTGTTTGGCTGCATGATGGATTAACCCACCATGCATACGAGTGGAGGGGAGCCGTGAATGATACTCTTCACTTCCATATCCGAAGTAAATGCTGCGAGTCACGACTTGTTGAATTGTGTTCAGCGTTTTCCTTTTCCCCATCGTCATTGTCTGCAGAAGGAGAAAATTGAGAAACTGTTCAAAGACACCGTGCCTGGGTGGCTGGCCAACCTCGAAGCGTACCTGGGCGACAACACCTGGTTTGTTGGAGATTCGGTGAGTCCCCACCATCGTTAGCTTGTCCGAGACCACTTGTCATTCTAAACAGACGCAATTTAATATTCCCAGCTAAGCGCGGTGGTGCTAAAGCAGGGGTGGGGAACGTCCAGCCCGCGAAATCATTTGGGTCTGGCCCTGCCAAGACAACCGCAGGCAGGACTCGAAATTCAATAAATCTAGGAGCAAACCTGGAAAAGCAGTTGCGAGTAGCAACATCATCAATACCAGCTAACATCACACGCCTCGCCAAAGAGAAGCAGTTCCAGCCATCGCATTAGGGGGTGAGTTAATTAAATGTTTGACCCAAATATAACGGGCACATTTTTAAGTTTATAATTTTGTATGGCCCGCGAATGATGTTATAAATATTCAAATGGCCCTTGGCAGAAAAAGGTGCTAAAGCAACGTGTAAACAACTGGTAATAATAATGTAATTTATTATTCAAGACATTCTTAATGAGTTTCAGGAGTGTCTTGCATCGCGGGGGTTTGGCCAATTCATTAGAGTTTTTTTTTTGCGTCTGGGAGGCATCTCAAGGTATACAGATGGTGGGTTCACCAACCCACTTTCTGTCGAGCAATACCTTGGCCACCTTGCAGCGAATATCAGGTTGGGGGAGTTTTCACGTCGACTTTATCACGTCAGCTCTTCGCTTTAGAGGTCTGGATCGGAGGAATGTGCCAACTTGTGAGTGCGTGAATACCTTCCGGAAACTGGAATACAAAGCAAGGCTTAAAGGACTGGTGGATTGATGCCACACGCTGTTACCCCTCTTCTGCTGGCACATCCGAGGCAAGCCAGGGTGGTGCCCTTGTGGTACAGGTGGCTTACCAGCTGGCTATTACCCAAAAGCAGAGTTGGAAACCGAACCGTGATACGGTGGCCTCGCAAGACATTCAAGTATTTCTCGGATCCAATCTGGGCCTGGGGCACAGTTTATAATTTTTCCATATTTTAAAATATCTGGGTTAGATTGGGTAAACATTGACGACATTAACCCACCCACCCCCCAACTGATATTGCACCTGATAGGCCCACAGGGATGGCATCACCTTTGCTCCCTCTATTTAAGACCGAAACAGGAGGACTTCTGGCTATCGCCTGATGAGGCTGGTTGTTATCAGCAGTGAAACGCTGTACTCTGCTTGTAAATGTTGTGCGTTTACTCTCCCAACGCACCGGCGTGCTGAAGTAGTCACTAATTGGCACGTTTTGTTTACGTGACGAACCTTACTAATTGGTTGTGGCGGGTTTAACGACACATTTATAATTATGTGATCTCGCCCAAATAAAACCTTTATTATGCACAATATTGGCCGCAAAAGCCTACGTGTTGAACTTGGTAATTTGTTTTGTGCTGATGGCAACAAGTCCATCGCGTGTTGCGACAACAAACAACAAATAAACAAACAACAACAACAACCTGGAAACGTCTTGACCCACCCCTGGGCTTGGCTCAACACGGTCCCCACGCGTGATGCAGTTGTACAGCAGGGGGAAAAAACAGTTGTTTTTTGGGGAAGGCGCCTGATATACGATTGGGCCATGCAAAGACAAACCGTCGTCTGGGGAAGGGGGTCCCAGAAAAGCATTCTTAGGGCTACCAATGCTGCCGACCTTCGGGAGGAAAGCACCGTTTTGCCGCGAGCCAGAAGCGATGCGATACGACGCCGACGAGGAGGAGTTGTTGACGTGATCAAGGGCTGAATGTCGGGATGGGGTAGGGGTTAGTTGGTGGCCCATTTCGTTGAGAGACCCCTTTTTCACGGTCTCGGAAGCCCTGTCCATCGTCAACAGGTATCTTTTTTTTAACGAGCACACAAAGCACACGGTGCTGGGGAGGGAGGCGGGGGAAGGATGGGTGGTCGTACGCACTCGTTCTCTAAAAGCGACATGTAACGATGACGCGGTATTTCTACGTCGCTTTCCAGCCCCCCAGTGGGAATGCGGAATTAGAGTAAACGAATTTGGCCGACCCCACCACCCACATTGTGGGTGCACGTTAACATAACGATGGGGATTCTTGCTCTAGATCTCTCTCGTGGACATCCGAACGGTGGTTCTCGATTTTGACTGTAAAATACGAGGCTCGCTCTGTTATTATTAGCACTGCAGAACTCATTTTGTCCTCGGCGGTTAATTTCAACGGAGCGGTTTTGTGTCCCGTACTGTTTGTTTGTATGTATGCCAGGAGCAGCATTACGCGTGTGCTTATTAGCAGCTGCCGCTTTCTCTGCCGACTGATACGTAGCATTGACGGTGATTTTATTGGTACTCGTATAATCCTCGTCATAGCCCCGACAAAAAATTTCGAACTTGCAGGTAACTCGTATAGCAAAAGTTACCGTGTCTTCATCATCATCATCACCATCTTTAGCCACAATCGATCCACTGCTGGATGAATGCCTGCCCAAGCCGTCGCCATCTCTCGCGATCCTTCGATGCAACAATCCACCTCGCAAAGCTATTCAGTTTTTTTTATATAAGACATTTTCATTCCACATCCTCCCTCACATCCTGACGTTTCCGGACGCTATTACCAGGGGCATCGGCGGTGTCGGGCACAAGCGGTTTCATTGGAGCAGGCGGAGTGGGGGTGGGGGAATTTTATTTGGGGGAGGTTGCCCAGGTCATTGCCGTTCTGGGCTTGGGTATTTAAGACTGGTCTAAGGTTCAGGAATGGTGTTATTATATTTTTATTGTCGTACGCTGTTGCGATTTTTTTTTTTTTAACACGACGGTTGACATGTGGCGTTTCTCGCATTCCGCCGTGTGTACAGGTGACCTGGGCCGACTTCCAGTGGCACATCGCCAGCGTGGTGCTGGACACGTTGAAGCCCGGCTTCCTGAAGGGGTACAGCAAGCTCGAGGCCCTGCGAGACCGCGTGGGCGCCCTGCCCAAAATCGCGGCCTACCTGAAGGCTCGTCCCGTAACCCCCATGTGAGAATGCTCCTTTTTTTGAAAACGAACAAGAATATAAAAAAACGCCACTACAACAAACCCACGCGGACTTCCATCGTAAAATTTACCTCATTTCGTCCTGACCACCTGCCGTTCAGTGCAGCAGGTCCACCTGATACGTTTTGACGGATATTTGTTCTCCTACTCTGCATCACGAGCCAGGCCACATGCGCACACAAATGGCCCTCAACTTGTAGCCAGTGTCAATTTGTTAAATCTGGTCGCACCACAGATGCATGAACAACCTCCCAGATTCTAATATGAATCCTCAACTTTTGCTTCTACAGGGAAGGGGGTGGGGGATGAAGTGACAATCTGGTTTGCTGGAAAGAAAATGTGTGCATTCTGTAACAAAGCGAAATGCTCAATAGTTGGCCATAATATGTTTAGTGACCTTTTTTTGAGCAATTCACATTTGCCACACCACTTAGGACAAAGCCAACTGAAATGCAGCGTCGGATTAGTGCACGAGTGGGGTTTGCAACCTGAAAGGCTTGTGTGTTTAGGGAGAAGGCTCTAAAAAAGTCATGATATGGGTATGGTTTGTGATGGTGTGGTTGTAAAATGACCAATTGGTGAAGCTGGTGTTTTGGCATCTGTTAAACATTCTTTTTCATATGCAGCTGATTATGCTGTAATTTGTGTTCAGTGACTTGAATAAAAATTATTTGAATACATTTGTAAGGATCTGGCAATGTTTTGTGTTTTTCATAATTTGAGCGTATGGCGGGAAAGACGAGCAGCAGCGTTGAAACGTCTTTAAAAAAACGCTACGGTTTTTTTTTCCCAACTGATTCAGGGGTGGGGGGGGGTGGAGGCGGTAGACTGTGTCAATCCCAGAAACCACCGCTAGCATGTTGCAGGGATGGGGCGCATTCGTCCGTGTGTTGCGTTCCGATGGCTTGAAATTCGCCACAATCGCAGTTGGCCGATCCTTTTGACCGTCCATTTGTGGGAGGTGCATGTGCATCTCCCACGTTGGAGCGAGGTCTATGGCGGTCACGAGAGAGAAGAAGCCCCGTGCTTCCACCATCGGGTCCTCGATGACGAATGGTGTTGCCACGATCGTAGCCGGTCCACGACTTTTGGACCACCAGAGCGCCCATGTGTTTATTTTCAGCTGCTACAGACTCGAGCTCAAGTACGTACTTCTAAACAGCTCTTGTAAAGTTCAAGTCAAAAATTATTCTGGTCAACACAAGTTGCTAAATATGTGTGTGTGTAATGATCTTGTTTGCATGTGAACTTATTTCGCACCATACGTAGCCAACCGGTGGTGTAGCACAAGCAATAATTCATGAGCACATTTTAATAAATGTACATGAAACGGCCCTTTTTATCCACCACTGGATGAGGGCCTCTTACAAACTGCAGGTTCTGGGGGTTTTCGGATCCCACTTTATCGCGTTGGTCCCTGTGGGTTGGCAATGGTGGGAAGCGGAAACACTGGAGCGTGTAACTGGCAGTCGTTCCCGGTACGGCGTGTGAGCATGGATTTGAGTCGACAGCATGGGTGGCTGGGGGAGTGGGGAGAGTTCCATATTGTGGGGGGCAGCTTGGACGAGGAGCGGCCTCGCACAGCCTCCACACAGCGGAGGTGTCTGTGTTCACTCCTTTTCAGAGGGGGGCCATGTCAGACATCGTCAGTGTGAGGGCCTGCTACACCGGCCCTGTTCTAGAGTTTATGTATTTGTTTGAGGCCTCACGTCCAGGGGTCGCCAATGGCCCACGGACCTTACAATGGAGCACACTGGTGTATGTGATGGGCTGTAGAGATACTGTGTGTGTGTGTGTTCTTTGTTATCTCCCTTTCACACTTTCACCTACCCCACGATTATCTCTCCGGGCGACTCGGTTGAAACAGTGGGGTGGTAAATTTTTACTTAAAATTTTCGTGACTGCAGGAATTCATATTCTATGATTCTTTCCGTAAAGTCACGTACATAGAAAAAAAATAACAATAAAATAATAAAAATTAAAATTAAGTGAATAAAAATAAGAAAAATATCACGACGTTTATTACTTCATTATTTTTTCTATCTACGTGACTTTACCGAAAGAACCATAGAATAAGTGGGGCGGTAGTTTATTGAATCCTCCAGACCAAATCCACCTCAGCGGTACAAATGTCCACGCCGCAGTCGAGCAGCGGGTCGCGTGCGGTGTCGTACGGTTTGGGTACTCTCCTACCTTCCAAGACGTCTCGCCAGTGTGGAAGAGTAGGCCAAGTACTCTCGAGGCCAAATACATGTACACTGTCTAGAGCTCCCTCCAGTGGAGACCTTCCACCAACAGCAGCTGTGCCTTTTTATTATTTTACACGGTTTTATTTAACTCAATGTGTCTGTATCCTCAAATCCTGTAACTCAATTTTAACCCACTTCCCAATGTCGTATCGACTGCAAACTTGGTATACATACGTCATACTGATGACAATACTATAGTCTATCATAACAATATATATATTTGTAAACAATCATTTTTATATGTTCTGTTTCGTCTTGGGTCTAATTATCCCACGCTCAACTCACGTTGGCTGTAATTGGCCACGGCCCCTTACGTTGTGGCAAGCTTCGGGGCCACTTCCTGGAGTCGTGGAGTTCTGCCATTACTCGTACGGTACATTTCATTAAAGCGAGTTATTAAAAAAGTGTTTTTAAATATTACTTATTGTTACCCCATTCACATGTAATGCACGTGCAGTGTTAAGGCACGTTGGACTTCTTTCGCACCGTACGTAGCCAACGGGGCTAATCCGGTTCACCGCGTATGGCCTCGGGGTACAGCGGACAAACAGCGCTCAGCGAACCTTGACCCCGAGGAAAGTTCCTCACCAGGTCACGTTCGCACAGGTTGAGGCAGGCGGCGGGGATTCTACCACGCTCTGGTGCGCGCTGCCGCATCGATTGGTAGCGTTACGTAAATACGTACGGCAGCAGCGGGAACACATTGTCCTGCGGAGGGAGCTGGTAGGAACGTTGGGTTGCTCGGTCAATGGCCAGGGTCAACGGCGGCGTGGTGTATTCCGCAAATATGCCCGACTGTGAGGGCGGGCACAAGCTGGCGTGAAGTAGGTTAAACGTTGAGTTGTATAAGGGCACCACGGGGTGACCAGCCCCTCCCCACCCAGCCCCACCCCTCCCACCCCCCACCCAGCCCCACCCTCCCCACCCAGCCCCTCCCCACCCAGTCCCGTTGACCCTGGCCATTGACCGAGCAACCCAACGTTCCTATCAGCTCCCTCCGCAGGAATGTGTTTTATTCAAAGAGATATATTGGGTTACATTTTAGTTTGTCATACAAAAAAATACATCGGTCACTTTTTTTTTGCGTAGTCCCTAGGGGTAAGCAGTGGCTCTGGTTTGTTGCCTATCGGAATAATCGGTGCCCCGGATTGATGGTCACACCACCACTGCCTCCAAGGAAGAATGCCAAAGTCATGGGGAGTACGTTCTCTCCTGCGGATGGGTGGGGTGCGTGGGGGTTTACTTCAGGACGTGGAACAAGGCGTCTTGTCAAACCCCGCCGTCTGTGCGGACTGTGAGGGTGCCTGTGGACGCATCGTGAGCGTGGTTCGGTGAGGGTTGGGTGCAAGTCAGGGGGCAATCGTGGACTTTGGGAGCATACCATTGCTGTTTTGTACAACGTGGTCCAGATGTCTTGTGACCGTCAATTAATTGTGCCATGAAATATTGTTTTCCTCTTTGCATATGCATTTCATTTATTTAAATAAAGGAAAATATATTATATAACGTTTTAGAGTATTGATTGGTGGGGGGGGGGGGGTGTCACAAAACATCTGGACCACCATATACAATAGATTTTGCTGCGTTGCAATTGCAACCCCCTGCTGTGATGGCAGTCACGACCATCGTGTCGAGTACAACTTAGGTTGTGAGTGAGAGCTCGACGCCAATGATGAGGTGGCCGAGTGGGATGAGGGTGAGGTGCCTGGCTTATAATCACGCAGACGTGGGTTCGAATCCATCATTTTCTTGCCACAATATTTTTGGACTACATATATATTTTTTCGGGTAAAAGTGATAGTAATACACGTAAAGTAGTAATAAAACATTATGTACTTTATTTTAGATATTTTAAAACATCGCAAACAAGTGGGATATCAATGTTAAATATCGGTGTTCATGTTTGGCATCAGCTACTTAAGACACTAGACGTCCAGTGCCCAACTACAAAGTTACTTGGTGTAGTGGGAATGTTCGTTACCTTTTACTCTGGCGAGCTGGGTTCAAACCCAACTCTTTCAATGTTTTATATATTTTTTTTTATTTGACAACTCACGTGATGACGTCATCACGCACAGTATCACAGAGCCACGTGCGTGCAGAGTGCATTCACTTAAAGCACCCGAAGCCCTGAGTTCTATGTGGGAGCGGCAGTGGCTCAGCCTGCTGAGTCAGGAGACTGGCAACGTAGAAGTGCTGGGTTCGAATCCCACCAATGAATATGTGGAATCAACGCAAGCCGACGCTCCAAACCAGGTGAGTGAAATAATATAATACATGTGGCTATCCTAACATACATGTGATGTGTCTCTGTTACAGATACATGAGTGTGCTGTCTCTGTGTAATTGGCAGACATGGGTGTCCAAGATGAGACTGTGGCAGAGCAGGAAGATACCTGGAGGGAGGCATAAGGGGAGGAAGAGATGGGACAAAGCAGAATTATTATTTTTTGCAATAAGCAAAACGTGTGGCCACTAGGGGGCGCTCTTCTACCACTAGGGGGCGCTGTCTACCACAAGGGGGCGCTGTTTCAATGCGTTTTGCCCTTTAAAACGGTCATTTTTAAACAAACTTACATATTTACACGGATTTAAGCCCTAAGCCACGGGTTTACGCAAAATCGTAGTGAAAATAGTAAATTTTGTGGGAAAAGGCACAATTTTAACGGTAAATTGCATTACAATTACTATTACTATGCCAAAAAAATGTTTGTTGCAAATTATTATAACAATTGATTAAGAACAAAAAGTTTCGGTGCTTATTTTCACAGCGATTTTGCACGCAAAAATGTGCGTTAAGGGCTAATATTAGTTGATGAATGGACATTTTTGCTTCAAAATGAGCGTTTCCAAAGCAACATGTAATCCAACAGAGTAGCCCTCGAGTTATTATTTATACGACCATAACATGTACGTCCTAAGAGCTTTAAGCGAGAACAAAATGCAAATCTAAAAGAAAAAAATTCACATTGCGATTTTAACACAATTTCTAAACAAGCCCCATTTCCAGGAAGCACACCGCAAATAAACTACTTGCTAAAGAAAGACAGCTCTCACGAAACACGAACTGACGTGACGCACACATTGTGGCATCATGGCCTGTCGGATACAAAGGCGTCTCAAACTCAGCTTCATGGCGCTGGGTCCACGGGTTTCAGACGCCGAGACCCCACGTCCAAGTGCTGAATCTCTGGTTCCAGGCGCTGAGTCCACAGGGGCTATAAACTGCCGCTCTGACACATGGAGTTGTAGTCAATCGCTAACCCTATCCACAACACCCCCCCCTCCACCACCTATCAACATTCATGGTGGGGGTCGCTTCCTCTCGTTGCTGAACCCTGCGTCCGGAGTTGCCCTCCCCCCTCGGCTGTTGGCACTGCGTAGACGTCAAGGCTGTAATTATAATATCCCCCCCAATATTCAAATATGCTCAAAATGCCCCCCCCCCCCAATATATTGCTATAAAAAGATAATTGCTATGCTATGTAAATAAGAACAACAATTTGCTAAACCTTGGCCACAATATCTGGACTGTCTTCATATAACAATGCATAGATTTCTGTTTACATGATTGTGGTTGTACTTTATTAATCCCTAATCTCTGCCATTACATACAATGAAACGAGAAATGGTAAAAAAAAAGTAAAAACAGAGCAATGTAATACAATACACCATTAGACATTGCAAAAAAATAAATAAAAAGTCCATCCCATGTGTCAGTGAATTTTTTGTATATTTTAGGCAGGAAATGAGTTTTCAAATGTACATATATTTCTGGGTTGGGACCCCCCAGACCCCCTGGAAGATGTGGTCCCCCCCAATGTTGACTCCATTGCTACGGCCTTGGTAGACGTATCGACGTCTAAGATCAGTCTCCAACTCGTTCCTTTCCACCCAATTGCCACCCATCCCCCCTCATCTCTGTGCGTGTGAAGTTTTCGTCTTTCCCTCGAAGATGCCCACCTGACCATCGTCTAACACTGGAGTTACTGGACACGTATAGAACACAGACCCATGAATAACCAACCATTCTCTTCGCTCCACCTTACAAAACGCACTCGTGTCGCCCTCTCGTGGCTCACGGGACGCAAAGCTCGAGATTAAATGGAGAGGGAAGGGAGAGTTTAACCACAACAGACACAGTGCCACTTACACTCTTCACTCAGTCGTGAATGGCCTGCCTGCCTGCCTGCCTTGCTTTCCCAGTGCTGTAATTGGCTCTCGCCTGGCCATGCATTAGCAGAAGTCGAACTCCCGCGTGACTGTCAAGGAGACGGTAAAGACCCCACGGGGACATCGGTATTGCAAAATAAATAAATCCACCAGACCACGATCCAAACGTGGTTTGAAAAAAAAACCCCAACTGGAAGAACATCAATCACACAGATACACAGCTACCATTAAACTCCCACTCCACATCACGCAGGCAACTTCACTGAGCAATTTTTCGTTCCTTAAGACTCGTCTTTTTTCAAGAGCAAATCCCTTTACTACTTCCTATCCACATCCTTAAAACCTTAACCATCCTTCCCCTTCCTAACCTCGCCAGCACCCCCCTTTCCCTATCATCACACTTCCTTGCAATCTATTCCCCTCCCCAACACTCAAACTCCATCCCTTTTCCCCATCAGCCAATGACTAATAATCTACCATTTATCATCCTTATAAAGCGCTTATATATATAAAAAACGCGCTATATAATATTCAGGATAAGATTAGTCGTGACTGGTCGTAGCATTCTATCGCAATTGGCTTTGAGCGCCACACGCATATGGCGAAAGTAAATCGTTTGCTACGCTGAAGACCGTGCGGTTTAATTACATTTTATATTATTTTATTATTTCCCTTCTACGTGACTTTACCGAAAGAACCAAGAATATATATATACCGTGGGGTTTGTTGGTGATGTTTTTTCCCACGAGACTCGAGACTCAACATCGGACGAGCGCCTCGTTCGCTCACCTCGGGGCCTCCTTGCTCCAGCCTCTCCCTCCGGGTCAAAGGGTCAGAGGTTGCAGGGTCTCCACCTCGCTCTGCCATCCATCCCTGCGGCCTCCAAACTCCCCGAGTCGCCTCTCAGGGACCACGGAGCGGACCACGTGGGCGACTGAGCTGCACGCTCGGGACGCTGACACCCGGGATCGAACCGGGTGCGCGGATTCCGCCTCTGTGGTCCGGGGAACTGACTCTCAGATTCCCGAGGAAAGCGTCACCGGGGGGCGGGGGGGGATGTTGGAGTCCTCAATGCGTTCACGTTGACTCCGTCCCGTGTGGCGATGCTCACCTGTGTTGAGCGCCCTCACCTGGGTGGTCTGTGCAGGATCCCAATAGCCGTGTGTGTGGTGGAGTGGGAGGATGTGTGTGTGTGGAGTAGGGATGTGTGTGTTGTGGGGATGTGAGTGTGATGGAGTAGGAATGTGTGTGTGGTGGAGTAGGCATGTGTGTGTGGTGGAGTAGGCATGTGTGTGTGGTGGAGTAGGCATGTGTGTGTGGTGGAGTGGGCATGTGTGTGTGTGGTGTAGGGGGATGTTTGTGTGTGGTGGGGATGTGTGTGTGTGTGGAGTAAGGATGTGTGTGTGTTGTGGGGATGTGTGTGTAGTTGAGTAATAATGTGTGTGTGTAGAGTGGGGATGTGTGTAGAGTGGGGATGTGTGTGTAGAGTGGGGATGTGTGTGTGGAGTAGGGATGTGTGTAGAGTGGGGATGTGTGTGTAGTGGAGTAGAAATGTGTGTGTGGTGGAGTGGGCATGTGTGTGTGGAGCGGCATTGCAACGCTTAGCGCACTGCGCTACGAAACCCGTGACCCGAGTTCGATTCCCGCTCACGGCCACCAAAACCAGTGACGATTATCTGAACCAATCCTGGGCCTACCCTAGGTAGACTCGGCATCAAATTAGTACCTCGTGCGGTGTGCAAACACCGCCACTGGGGAGACAAAGGCGGCCCATGTGTGGTGTTGCGGTCTTGTGCCACCCCCCCCTCTTGTGTGCAGTGCTCGCTAACAGCACTTGCCCCAACAATCTGTTACAGGCTATACGGGGGATCTTTGTCTTCTTCTTTTTCTCCGTCACATCGACGTTGATACCTCCGATAACGTCAGCATAACGTCAGCATCTTCGTGTGTTCTGATGTGGTAGGAAACCAGATTTCTCAGGACAACTCACCGGAGACAGGCAGGTAACCCCTCCTTCCACCCCACCTGTCTCCCCCACATCCCCCCCTCGCCTTAATGTTTGTAGTCAGGACATTTAAACCTCATAAGCCCACCGGCTCTCGCATAAACTGCGTCGTGACGTCATTGTATGTCTGTTGAAGGTGAACGACACGGCCAATTCATCTCGACGAGCTCTGCATGATGCGCTAATCAAAGTTTCAAAGTTGTGTTTCTTTCGCGCATTCGTCCTCGCCGCTGCGCTTGGATACGACACGACACGACAGAATGATCCGCGCCAGGCGGGTCGCGGCGTTTATGTGCGCGGTGGGACGGAGTCGCCAAAAATGAAGTCATTAATTGCGATTTTGACATTCCGTTTATTCGGGACCCCGGGGTCCCGCCGTAAAGTTCATTTGTCTGCCTTAAAAATTAAGCTGGGCCAACAGCGCAACGTACAGAATGGTCCAGATGTCTCGTGACACCCCCCCCCCCTCTCCATTTAATTCTCTAAAGCTTTATCTATTTTTTAAGCAATGTTTATTTAAAACAAATTAATATTCAAAGGGGGGGGGGGGGGGGACAAGTTAGGGGTCAACTAATTGGAGTTCACAAGACATCTGGACCACCCTGTACAATCTTGTTGCCCACACAAACGGTCCCAGCGCTAAGTCAATACCAGGAGCAGGCAGCGTTGAGTCATATTCAGTGTTGGTTTTCCCATTAAGGACATTTTTTGGCGAAATAATAAAAAAAATCCATAAATTGTTTTAAAAGACTGTGAGTCAATTAAACATCGGATGCCACGGTAGCACATTTCGTGACATGAAAAATAAGCTGTTGTTTTTGTTGTTGTTCTGGAAAGTGCAAATGTGATTGAAATTATCCGACTAATTTCACTTACCGTTGGGAAAAAAATGCCTAATTTATTAAGCGCACACATCTGGGACGGCTGGGGTGACTCGGAGGTCAGAGAGATGAGCTTATCAATGCTTATGTATCCCGAGTTTGGGGCCGTCCATAAATGACGTCACGCACCTAGGGGGGGGGGGGGTCAGATATTTGTGACGATGTGTGACGAGGGGGGAGGGCGGGTGAGAAATGTGACGTCACATCAAAATGCGCAACTTAAAATAAATATAGATTTAAATTTCGATTTAAAGCTTTCGTGACTGCAGGGATTCATATTCGTGGTTCTTTCGGTAAAGTCACGTAAAAGGGAAATAATAAAATAATACAAATAAAAGAATTAAATTCTCACGACGTTTCGATTGCAACACAAACAATCATCATCAGGTGTGAAAACCACAGCAAGAAATGTTTTTCAATTTTTTTCAAATTTTCTTGCTGTGGTTTTCACACCTGATGATGATTTCTTGTATTGCAATCGAAACGTCGTGAGAATTTTATAGTTGAATTTTTATTATTTTATTATTTCCCTTCCAAGTGACTTTACCGAAAGGACCAATAATATAAATATAGAATTGTTATAACAACACTAATTGTTATAACAACACTCCTACAACATCAGAGTGCAGCGCCACATTAAATACGCACTACATTGACAATAGTTTAAAGCGATTTGAAGCATGCTTTATTTTAAAATGTAAATATGGTTTTGGGGGGGGGGGGGCAGAGCTTTGTGACGTCATATTTAAGGGGGGGTCTGACTTTTTGTGACGCAGTGTGACGAGGGGGGGGGGGGTCAAAAATCGTCCAAAATCGCGTGACGTCATTTATGGACGGCCCCTTTGAGTTTGGCTTTTAAACTGGGTTCTCCTTTCCTGGCCCAGCCGCAAATGCAACAGACACGTACCAACGCCCGAATTTTGGGCTTTTCACTCAATTGGGCTACACTCCACATCTTAAGAGTCGTTATCACGCTGATGGGGCTTCACGGTCACGTGACAATCGCACAGCCTGTCGGGAGACTTGAGTCTCGTCTCTTCGGCAGTCATTCTCTGTCACCGCCTAATGCAGCAGCAGAGGTCGCAACCGGGTACCCGATACCCGTACCCTACCCGATACCTGGCTACCCGTACCCGGCCGGGTACGGGTACCCGTTTGCGACCCTGGTGCGGCGGGTACGGGTAGACCGTGAGTCACTGGTGAGTAACTGTTCGTCACTCATTTCCCAACGTCTTGTCTCTTCTCACAATTCAAGTTCCTAGAATCAACCCACCCGCGCCTGCAACATGGTTTCATCCCAGAGGTCGCAATCAGGTACCCGATGGGTACGGCCGGGTACGGGTACCCGTTTGCGACCCTAGTGCGGCCGGGTACGGGTAAGGAATCAAAACCCGTTTGCGACCTCTGTGCAGCAGACGAAAACCAGAGGTTGATTTGCCGAGTCAATCCCATTGAGCTAAGAAGTTCTTTCACAAGGGCGACACGGTCGTCCAAGAGTCTACGCCGACGTTTGGACAATTGTTGGAATAAACCACACAGTTACATGGTCTTTTAAAAATGCTTTTTCCAAGTCTGTTTTAAATATATATTTTTTTCCCCCTTTTAACATAAAAGTTCAAGGATCTTTTATTTCACGTGACTGGAGCTCCAAATGAGTTGACAGAGCTTGTGTGTGTGTTTTTTTTATTCAATGAAATGATTTCTGTACACGTCGTCTTGACAACATCGTATTGTTTTTCCCCCTCTCCATTAAACACATCTGATGGTGAACACAACCGGTCGTTCAAAATACAGGGAGACTCACACCGCACAAGGAAAATAGCTACTTACACTAATCACGTCGTTTTTTTTATACATAAATTATTCACCGTTCTCATTCGCCGCAGACGCTGTGCTCTCCTTAGTAAACCTCGCGGTGAAGGATGCGTATGAAAGCCGTATGAAATTCAGTTGAAACATTGTCATCGTTTTATAATATGTACATACATTTTACGCTTGTGTTTTTTCTCTCTCTCTCTCATTCTTTTGCTTGCTTGCTTGTAAGGATTGACTCTTGCGTTGGGGAGTACCTCCATACATTCCAGCTTGGGAACAGCTTGCTTGGGCGGTGGAGCTCGTCGCGGACAGAGTTATCGGTAAACGGAATCATTCATCCTTACGTAGCCGGCCATCAAAAGACGAGCGAGAATCCTCGCGGTCGCATCCACATCCCACGCCCTCCCCCCACCACACCGATCCACCACTGCCCCCCTGCACCCACCCCCCGCCGCCCCCACGAAGCTCAATCCGCACGAGGCTCGTGGCGCGAGGCCTCGTCGACGACTCTTCTTCTTCGACTTCGACTCGGTGACAAGTCGCGAAGCGGCCGGCGCTTCTCGCGAGGTCCGCCACGGGAGATCGAGTGGGTGGAGGGAGGGGGGGGGGGCTGGGATGTGGGGGCAGGGGGGTGGGTGGGGGTGGGTCCCTCGGTGACGACGAGAAGCAGGCCGCTACCCGGGTCCGGCCGTGGCTCCGCGTCAAATCGAGGTGCCCCTCATCGTCTCGCACGACTGCTCGGGGATGTATCCGCTCGGAGCCTGGAAGGTGACGCGACCGGAGCCGAGCGACTTGAGCGGACTCTGCTGCTGCTGCTGCCTCTGCAGACCCCCGTTGGGCGCGCGGTGCTTCAGGACGAGCGGCGGCTGCTGCTGCTGCTGCTGCACGTGGTGTTGGTGCTGGTGGTGCTGGTGGTGCTGGTGATGGGACGACGACTCGGGCCCGGCCATCGCCATGCCGGGCGGCATGCGCTGAGGCTCGGGCAGGAAGGAGTTGACGGGCATGGCGAGGGAGCGGTAGTCCCGCGGTGCGCCGACCTCGCACGCCAGCATCTCGATGGAGGGCAGCGAGAAGGGCTTGTGCATGCCGCCTCCGCCAACCACTCCCTCGTCCAGCATGCCGCGCTCTCCGACGACGCCGACGCCGCCGCCACCGCCGCCCGACGACGACGACGACATCTGGGGGTGAACCTGCTCCATCTCCAGCTCCTTGTCCTCCTTGCGTGGCGAGGACACAGCGCGAGAGAGGCAAGCGCGCGCGCAGCGGACACTTGCTGTCATCGTGCGCCCCCGTGCCAATAGCAATCGCGGTTATTATCATCGCGCCTTCCGATTCGCGCGGTTGGCTACGAACGGCGCGAAAGGAGCTCGACATGCGTGCGTACATCGGGATCATCGTCCACGATAAAAAAAACACTCCCCCAAGTCGTCTGCGATGTAACAATCCACATATCCCCCTGCGTATCATAGCACTAGCTCACGAGGATAGCGCTAACCATCTTGAGCCAAACGTGAAAGTAAATACCAGGAATCGTGGATGTTGCAGCCTCTCAGGCTGCGTATGCTCAAGCAGCCAGGGCACTATTCCAGATTGCTTTGTTACGCTTCAGCGATTGAATTTCACCGCAAGAGAACACTTGCCATTGTTATTGCACCTGTTTATCCAGGAAATCCTCACTGAGTCTCAGCACTATTTTTCAGGAGGGTCCTGCCAAGTTTTCTCAGCAGTGGACAACGTCATTGTGCAATCCCAAGTGAGTAATTTGAAGGAGATTTTCCAGCGGTAGTATATTTGGTCATTACCAGTTGCATAACACGGGATTTTTATTGTTGTTTTAGCAATGGGAGGATACCGGCGAATCTGGAGGCAACCCACGCTGACCACGGGGGTGAGCATCCAAACTCCGCACAGAAAGCCATCCCAGTCTGGAATTGAACCCGGGAATTTCTTGCTACGAGGCACTGGTGCTATCAGCCTTTATAGGTGCTCACTAACAACACTTGGCCCAACAGTTTCTTAAAGGCTATACGGGGGGCCTTTGCCTTTGTATCCTTGCACAATGGGGCAAGGATACGATGCCGCTTGTGCATCTGGCAGTCATCTCGACCAGCCAACCCATGGCACCTAGCTTTGACCACGTGACTCCTGCCAGCAGCGAGCCTTCGCCACTTCATGTGGCCTCAGAGTGCACCGAGCCTGGCGAGATGTTAACTACCTCGCCTGGTATACAGGAGGTCGTGGGTTCGATCCCGACCATGACGCCTGCTGTATATTTGGAGTTTGCGTGTGTTTCACGTGGTCGCGTGGCTTGTTCTCCAAGTCCTCCGGTTTTACCCCTCCACATTTGGAATCGACATCACGCGTTTAGAGAATGTGGCTACCGCTATAAATTTCCACGTGATAATCCACTCCGTCGGGCGTTCATTTGTGGCCAGGTGGCTTCTGAAAAAAAGTTACCTAGCTCAGTGGGGCCTTACCTGGGTACAAAATAAAAATAAATAAATTTAGTTTTAGTTTTGCTTAGTGGCGAACGGCTGCTGCTGCCGTTTTTGTTGTCGTTCGACTCACGTTTGGCGGGCACAGGTTCCCGGAGCGCCGGTGCCAGCACGCCTCGCAGGCGCCCAGCAGGCAGGCCAGCAGCAGGCCCGCGGCCAGCACGGCGAAGGCCCCGGCCAGGCTGCTCAGCTCCAGGCCCGGGGGCCGCTGCTGGGGGAGGCCCGGCCCGTACGGGTCGCACTTCCCGCGCCGAGGCCACCACTTCTGGCGCAGCGCCTCCAGCTCGCCACTCTCCTGCAGCTCCAGCAGCCTGGGGGGGCAGAGGGGGGGGGGCAGAGGGGGGGGCAGGGGGAGAGCACCGTCCCTCGCGTCAAAACGGCCACGCGGTACAGAGCACGGCGCAAGCAGAGAAGCACTGATGCAGCCCAGCTCGCACCTACAGCACCACACTCACACCTACATCAACAGTCACACCTACAGCTCCACACTCAAACCTACAGCATCACTAACACAGCACCACACTCACACCTACAGCCCAACACTCACACCTACAGCCCAACACTCACACCTACAGCACCACACTCACACCTACAGCCTAACACTCACCTACAGCACCACACTCACACCTACAGCACAACACCCACCTACAGCACCACACTCACACCTACAGCACAACACTCACACCTACAGCACAACACTCACCTACAGCACCACACTCACACCTACAGCCTAACACTCACACATGCAGCACAACAGTCACAACCACAACAACCATCAACAAAGTCCAACACTCAGACAGCCACCATCTACACGGCACACCACACCCTCGCCCACGCCACGACACAGAATGCATCGCGTCGCAGCCCATAACTTAACTTTTCACAACACAACATGTCAGCACTTACATCCTAACACTCGCAGAGATTACGCCGCAAAAACCACTGCTTGATTAGTGATCACTTAATACAGCAACAAGCCTCGAGATCCACAATAGAGGCTTTCGGGTTAGATCGCGTAAGGGGCCGTCCATAAATGACGTCACGCGATTTTGGACGATTTTGGACCCCCCCCCATCCCTACTCACACGGCGTCACAAAAAGTCAGACCCCCTCCTCAAATGTGACGTCACAAAGCTCTGCCCCCCCCCAAAAAAAACATGCTTCAAATCGCTTTAAATTATTGTCATTGTAGTGCGTATTTAATGTGGCGTTGCACTCTGATGTTGTAGGAGAAAACATTATTAAAAAGTCTATTTAATTAAGTAGAACGTGTCGTCTATATTTATTTAAAGTTGCACATTTTGATGCGACGCCACATTTCTCAACCCCCCCCCCCTCGTCACACATCGCCACAAATGTCCGACCCCCCTCCCCCCCTAGGTGCGTGACGTCATTTATGGACGGCCCCTGAATACGAATTTGTCGTTAAACCCGCCAGCACCCGACACAGCAAATTAGTGCGGGTTTGTCACGTAAATAAAGCGTGCCAATTCGTCACTATGTACAGCACACCGGTGTGTGGCAGAGTAAACCCACAAGATTTACAATTGGAGTACGACGTTTCGCCAATAATTACAACTGGCATCCTCAGGCGACAGCCAGATTTGTGCAGAAATCCTCCTGTTCGGTCTTATTGACGCGATCTAACCCCCCAAAAAACTCGAGTATGGAAAATATTGACCGCGAAAGCCTACGTGTTAAACACACCTCAAGATGTGACTCTGTCGAAGATTAATTACAGTGGAACCTCGGAGATCGAACGCACCAGAACTCGAACAAATCGGTGTTGGAACGATATTTCTGAACATTTTTTGCCCCGGAAACCGAACGAAATTTGGAGGTCGAACGGGCAATCGCGACTTGAAAGAACCTGTACGGCTGAGACGCGCATGGTCAGCGTGCATGACGCTTGCCCAGACAAAGGTTTTACCGTATGAGAGGCTCAGTTAACGTGAAGTTCTCACCCAGTGCAGTTACCCGCAAAACATCGTTCCCTAACTGTTTCGTTAATTTTCTTTATTTCAGTGTTATTTGGTGTTTATCCATACACGATGTCTCCATTTATTTATTGTGATTCTTGTTTTTTTGTATGATTTTATGCATGTAATTACTATAAACTTCGTGTAAAAATGCTTTATAATGGGAGATGTCTTGTGTCTGGAACCAATTAATGTAATTTACATTAATTCTCATGGTGAAAATTAATTCGGTGTTCGAACAAATCGGTGTTCGAACGGCCTTTTGGAACGAATTAAGTTCGATCTCCAGGGTACCACTGTATTTTGTCCAGACACTTAGGCCAGAGTTTATTAAAATCGCCCTGCCACTGTTCGCCAAGCAGTGTTAATGGGTACAGCACTGTAATAATGAAGTTAATTGGGGTAAAGTGTTGGGTGCTCCGAACTATTCCAAGACGTCTGGCCAATGTGGAGGCCAAAATAGCAGCCAGCATCGGCGTGAACAGGTCATTGCGGGGCTGCACCTGTATCTTTACTTGGAACAGCGAGTATTGTTGAATGTCACGCTCCCTCCTAAAGAAGGTTTTAGTTTGCGGATAATTTAGGATAATTATCACCATGGCTGCAGGGGAAAAGTATCAACTAACTTTGAACTTACCGTTAATGTTTGGTACTTTATAAATCAAAAGGAAATGTAATTAATATCAAGGTGCCATTGTGCTTTCATGCGCTGCCAGGCGTTTGTTCCATGCGGGGCAAATTTGCAAATTTAAAGAGAATAATTCTAGCAAAAAATACCAAAAATGTTTTAATGATTGCTTCAGTGAGCCCATTAAACGATTGTTAAGATGGCCATAAATTCGTTTTTTTAACAAAACTTGTTGTGCAGCTGGGACTGAACAATAAAGGAAAGTTTTTTTACGAGGTAGGTCATTAATAAAATGAAACGCTGGGAGAGAGCTTCATGAAACATGTTTTACCCACAGACGTCAGGTTTGTTCGAAATAAAAAAACCGGCAGACTCTCAGTTTACGATTTTAGAATATTTATTTTTTCAGGAACAGAACTAATGCAGGGAACTTATTTTAATCGAAATTTTAACGCGAACTGCCTACGCTCATTAAATATTGTCACTATCACAGAGCACACAACAGCAAAAAGTACGCGGCTCATACTGGCTCATGAGCAATTTGCGTTACACTCATGGCACATTCATACGCATATGGCACATTCAAACACACATGGCACATTCAAACACACATGGCACATTCAAACACACATGGCACATTCAAACACACATGGCACATTCAAACACACATGGCACATTCAAACACACATGGCACATTCAAACACACATGGCACATTCAAACACACATGGCACATTCAAACACACATGGCACATTCAAACACACATGGCACATTCAAACACACATGGCACATTCAAAAACACATGGCACATTCAAACACACATGGCACATTCAAAAACACATGGCACATTCAAACACACATGGCACATTCAAACACACATGGCACATTCAAACACTCATGGCACATTCAAACACTCATGGCACATTCAAACACTCATGGCACATTCAAACACTCATGGCACATTCAAACACTCATGGCACATTCAAACACACATGGCACATTCAAACACTCATGGCACATTCAAACACTCATGGCACATTCAAACACTCATGGCACATTCAAACACTCATGGCACATTCAAACACTCATGGCACATTCAAACACACATGGCACATTCAAACACTCATGGCACATTCAAACACACATGGCACATTCAAACACTCATGGCACATTCAAACACTCATGGCACATTCAAACACTCATGGCACATTCAAACACACATGGCACATTCAAACACACATGGCACATTCAAACACACATGGCACATTCAAACACACATGGCACATTCAAACACTCATGGCACATTCAAACACACATGGCACATTCAAACACTCATGGCACATTCAAACACTCATGGCACATTCAAACACACATGGCACATTCAAACACACATGGCACATTCAAACACTCATGGCACATTCAAACACTCATGGCACATTCAAACACTCATGGCACATTCAAACACTCATGGCACATTCAAACACTCATGGCACATTCAAACACACATGGCACATTCAAACACTCATGGCACATTGAAACACTCATGGCACATTCAAACACACATGGCACATTCAAAAACACATGGCACATTCAAACACTCATGGCACATTCAAACACACATGACACATTCAAACACTCATGGCACATTCAAACACACATGGCACATTCAAACACTCATGGCACATTCAAACACATATGGCACATTCAAACACACATGGCACATTCAAACACACATGTCACATTCAAACACACATGTCACATTCATATACATATGGCACATTCAAACACACATGGCACATTCAAACACACATGGCACATTCAAACACACATGGCACATTCAAACACACATGGTGCATTCAAACACACATGGCACATTCAAACACACATGGTGCATTCAAACACACATGGCACATTCACACAACATATCTCTACCGTAATTAAAACATCAAATGTCTGTGCTACATGTAACCATTAAGCCCTCCCACCAACCCTTACCAAAAGAAACCCTAAACCATGATAGAATTAACTTTCTTAACACCCCCCCCCCCCCCTTTTTGCCAAACGTGACTCAAATTTTTCTCAAACTCATTACTGGCCAAAAGACCTTTGGACTTAGGCAAATCATCCGTGTAATGTTGTAATGAAACCCACGAGTGGCAGACTATTAAGTAGTGGCAGCATTTCTCTTTATTTCAGCGCATGGGGCCAGTGGTGGTTGTGTTACTGCGCCGCGTAAGATGGCCCCTTTCCTGTCTCTGCCTTTGAACGCAGAGCCCTTCCGATTGAACGACTCCTAAAAACCAGTGTCACCGTGCGCGCGAAAAAATCACGGCGCAAGCGTGTGTAGGAGACACAAGGAAACGCACACGCACAACCACTCCAAATGCTATTTTACAAAATGGGCAATTGTGGCAACAGCCCGGTCAATTTAGTGTTTGCAGTAAAAGTAATCGTCCTTATTAGGCTATTACCAACACCTCCCTCTCGCTGCTATCGTATGCCAAACAAGCATTGTACGAGGTGGCGGGGAGGAGGGGGAGGTAATTAACCCTGAAAGGTGGCAGGGAGTGGGCACAATGCGGGAGCAGAGATAATTGCTCTCATGTGGTCCCCTGCGCAGCGGCGAATGGGAACCCGTGCTGTGAGAATTGGCAGAAGCCATGCCCTTTGCAAGTTTGCTGAGCATTACAGCCACCAGCAGCATCACCACCAGCACCAGCACTAAACTATTATTTTATTTTACTAGGTGGGCCCACTTAGCTATATGGCTTTTTTTTCCAGAAGCGACCTGGCCACAAGTGATAGCTCAACGAAGTGGCTTATCACGTGGGAATTTATAGCAGCCAAATACTCTGGAACGCGTGTTTCTAAATGGCGAAGGAGAAACCGGAGGACCTGGATAAAAATCCACGTGACCACGGGGTGAACACTAAAACTCCAAATATACAACAGGCGTCGGAGTCAGGATCGAACTCACGACCTCCTGTAGACCAGGTGAGGCAGTTAACATCGCACCACTACCAACACCACCATCATTTTCTATTTCCAAGTCGCCACTAACTTTAACAATAATATCCTTTATTCGCCCAGAAAAGGCGCGTAGACTTTCAAGATTTGTTCAGCAGGGTCCTACGTTGGAATGCTTCCATCAATGTGTAATTTCCATGTGGGAGGACATAAAAAAAACGACCAGGAAAGACACAACCACACAGATGGGTGGGGAACAAGGTTCTGCCCAAATAGATTCAATAACCAAATGCAGTACTGACATCTGGCCACCTTGTGACCATAGCCTCGTGTTTGTTGCCAGTCTGCCATCCAAATACACACCAAGGTTCATCATCTCTGCTCAGCTTCCAAAATTGGCTCGAGGTAATTAAGGCCCTTGCATGCAAATGCCACTGCCCAGTGTCCCATGGCAGATGTGTTTTTGATTGTGTGCACTACCAAGGTATGCATATGTTATGGCGTTTTGCGCGTGTGTGTGTGTATGTATGTTATTGATTGGGGAGCGGTAGTGTGGCGGTTAGCACGCTGCGCTATGAACCCGGCGACACGGGTTCGATTCCCGCTCACGGCCAACACCAGTGACGATTATCTGAACCGGTCCTGGGCCTCCCCGAGGTCGACTCAGCCTCAAATGAGTACCTGGTGCGGTGTGTAAACATCGCCACTGGGGAGACAAAGGCGGTCGGGCGTGGTCTTGGCCACCCACCCCCTCGTGTGCTGTGCCGGCCTTTATAGGTGCTCGCTAACAGCACTTACCCAACAGTCTGTTAAGGCTATACGGGGCATCTTTGTCTTTTTTTTGTCAAAGTGTGCGCGTGTGCGTGCGGCATGATCGCGGCTCTCACCGTTGTGAGAAGGCGTCCCGACAGGGCCTGCCATGTGAACGTGTGCGTGTGTCTATGTGAATGTGCATGCGAACGTGTGTGCGCGCGTGTGTATGCGTGTGTGCGTGCGGTATGGTCGCGGCTCTCACCGCTGTGAGAAGGCGTCCCGGTAGGGGCTGCCATGTGAACGTGTGCGTGTGTCTATGTGAACGTGCGTGTGAACGTGTGTACGCGTGTGTGCGTGCGTGTGTGTGGTGCGTCGTGGTGGTGGTCGCGGCTCTCACCGCTGTGAGAAGGCGTCCCGGTAGGGGCTGCCGTGCTGCAGGGCGATGCCGTAGCCCTTGTCGTAGTGGACGTTCCGCACGCTCAGCGAGCAGTCGCCGTCCGACAGCGCGGCGAACTCCAGCACCGCCGTGTCCCACACGAATGCGTAGTTCCCACGCTTCACCTGCACGCACGCGGTAACCACGCGGTTAGTGAGAGCGTGGCAAACTCCAGCACCGCCGTGTCCCACGCGAACGCGTCGTTACCATGCAGTTACCCACGTGGCTAACTCGCTGTTCACCTGTGACACACGAGGTTTGTTATTCCGAAGTACATACGCAAGTGTTGCACACAAATGCGCTTTTGTCTACTTTTAACTCAAGAAACCAAGGCCATGGTGGTGAGACAGCATCGGAGGCAATTCCAAGGTCACGTGAACCATTGACACCAGCCGTCTGTGAATAAACTGTTTTTTTCAAGTGTAGCAGAGTTGATCGTCTGAGCCCAGCCACCGCTGTAAAAATTCGACCTTTCACTTCATTTGGCGAAAATGCAACTCTCAGAATTGGAATGCAAATATCGGTTCGCCATTCGACAAACCCCAATGTCATAGCACGAGTGTCTGGGCAAATTGCGCCCCTTAACTGTGCGACGGTAAAGCATCAAGGGATGAGCGTATGTTCACGAACAGAAAAAAATAATTTCCGTGGCAATCAACAAACACTCGCAAAGGACTCATTTTCGTTACCCCAGGTCTCCCTTGTAACACGTTCCTTCGGAGTGGGCAGGTAGGAACTTGGTTGGACAGAGCATTCGTGCACAGCAGACAAATATGCACGACAGACGGACAAATAATCCCTGGTGGGCAGTGTGGAACCTGTTGTTCCTACCTGTGTACAAGATAACTTGACTTGAGGTAGCCAGGCAGCCAGCCAGGTAGTCAGCCCCCTTAACTATCGGCCCCTCCCCCTTGCTTAGGCCCCTCCCCTTACCCCCCCTCCCTCAGGCCCCTCCGCTGACCCCCCCTCCCTTAGGCCCCTCCCCTGACCACCCCTCCCTTAGGCCCCTCTTCTGACCCCCCCCCCCTCAGGCCCCTCTCCTGACTCCCCCCTTCCTTAGGCCCCTCCCCTCTCCGTACCCGGCAGTAGGTCTCCACCAATCAAAGAGCTGTTTATATTATATATATATTTATGCACGACAGACAAAAAATCCCTGGTGGGCAGTGTGGAACATATTGTTCCTACCTGTAAAATAAAGGCTTTCGTCCGAATGGCCTGTCACCCGTTCAAAAAGCTTGCTGCGCGATATGCGTATAATATTTTACATTTTACCAGGTAAGGCCCCACTGAGCTACGTAGCTCTTATCCAGAAGCGACCTGGCAATCACAAATGACAGCTCAAACGAAGCGGCTTCTCACGTGGAAACTTCGAGGAGCAAAAATACTCCAATCGCACGATTCTAAATGTGGAGGGGAAAAATCCGGAGGACCCGGAGAAAAATCACACGACCACAGGGAGATAGGCATGCAAAGTCCAAATATACAGATGTTGTCAGGGTCGGGATCGAACCCATGACCTCCTGCATCTCGCCACCGCGGTGCCCCCAAAGCTAACCCTGGTCGCCCTTGCAGAAACAAACAACGTAGAATGAAGAAGCCCTGCGTGGCAGACGATGTGCCTTAACAGTCGAAAGATACAGGAGCCGCAATGTGGCGGCAGATGCCACCCCCTCAAAATACCATTAACATCCACAGCAAGCACCGTCGACTCCATTACTCTGCACAGGGACTCCTGCCAGCAGCCAAAATTAATCAAGATGAAGTAAAAATAATAATAAATAAGGACAAGATATGGGGGAGCTGTGTTTTGATGAGGCTTGCTGCTATATTATTTTTTGATTGAGGCGGTATATGAAGAACAAGCTAACCAGCTAACAAGCAGATTTGCTAAGTTGACTCTCATTGCCGGCTCCAAAACAGTCGTTTGATGAGTTCCGCGAGATTCACCTCGACTTCATTGGCGCCTAAAATAGTAATGGGTCTCGCAGGGAGAGACGAGCGAAGAGAAATGCAATGAAGGAAGGCTCGTGCAGAACAATAAATAATTTGCGCAGTAGCGCAATTAAGCAACGCCGACCGTTAATTCCCCCATTATTTTTTTTCCTTCAGATAACCCACCTTACACAAGTGGGCTTTAAGCTCACTAAACACATTTTATTTTGCGCTGACGTTAACGCAAAGCTAACGCAAGGGTCTGCGTTTAGAGCGCGTGTTTATTTGTCCGACAGGCGCAGAGCATTCGTACTTTTTTTTATCCATAATGATCATACAATAACTTACTTGCTCGACACTCCGTTTATTTCAAGGGGCGGGTGCCAACGGTGGTGGCGGGGGGAGGGATAAACAAGTCTGGAGTTTCCAAACCTAACGGTGGCCCAGTTGAGCACTGAACATTTAGAGGCTGGCTTTCAATATTTGAGCATTAAACATTGAACGAACGCTTCAGTGGGAGATTGAAGGAACGCGAGTAGGGGCGTATCGCCAGTGCACTCTTAGCGAGCGTGTGTCGCTGAATTCTTAAGCGGACGGGACGAGGCAGGTACGGTGGCGGACACATGGCGGCGTGCGATCGGCAACTGTGATTTGGCAACATTAAATTGCCACTCGGCCACCTCGCCGAGACGAAAAGGTCAGCGGGGAAAACGGCGCGACGCGAGAAATTGACCGTTAATAACATTTGCATTCGCCTCCCCAAGTCACCATCGCACACGCACTTCCCCGCATTCGCTCGCTCACGCCACTGCAGCCGTATGGAACGCTCTTCCTTTGAATATTAGGAAGCCACTGGAGCTATGCACTTTTAAATGTACATTGAAAGCTCATTTCTACAAAGATGATTTTTGTGTTCTGTTTGTTGTCCTTCCCTCCCGCACCTCCGATTAGCACGGTTGGCTAAGTACTGTGCGAAAAAAGTTCAACACACATGCACTAGAGGGAGATCCACTTCAGGTTATTTTGGCCTACTTTTCCCTGCTGCAGAGACATCTTAAAATAGGTGGAAGTGCTGTACGCCACATTTACACCGCCGGGGTGGACAGAGGCGGGGAGGGCATTTAAGAAACCTGCACCGTTGTTTCGACTGCCGGGCCTGGAGGCTGAAGTGAATCGGCGACCCGTATGTATGCTGAACGTCTTTAGCACCGTACTTAGCCAACCGTGATAATCGGTGGTGCGGGGAAAGGACAACAAACTAAACACAAAAAGCGGTTCCAAAAAAATTTGTTTTCAATCTAGATCACTTAGAAGTGCATCGCTCCAGTGGCTTCCTGATATCGGAAGAGCGTTCCAGACGGCCGCAGAAGGGCATCTGAAAGCGCGCGATGCCGTGACCGTCTTTGTTCGATGGCTTTAGCCAAACGCCTCTGTGAGGGCGACCGGATTGCAAATCCGGTGTGCTGCTCCCCACGACACCACAGCAGCATCATCATATAAATGCCAAATCAATATTTCATCCTACGTGCAATTAAACAACCGAGCACGAACACAACACGGATTAAGCGAGCGGCAACACTTAGTCCAACTGCTGCATCCACGCCGCCACGGGGGTGTACGGAGGGTTTTGCGGTAGGGGGCACTGCACGATCGCGGCCACTGCCAAAGTCACGGCTCACGATGCTCGCAACAAGCGGCCGCAACTCACTCGAAAAAAAGCAATAAGGTGTCGTGTCATTTTTCATCCCGGATAAAACAACATTCATCTAAAAACAATTTTCCTCTCTTTTGCGCGCTCCCCCCCCTGCCCCACCCCACCCACCACCACCCCACCACCACCCCCGAACCAAACGCCTCCAACTCCACACCGCTCACCCCCGGCGCAGACTCAAAGCCCCTTTCTCTGCTCACTGCCGGCGCGCAATTCCGTGGGGTCATCTGGCAACGGGAGATCTGGCAGTGGCAACGTAAATAATGCCCAGCGCGACCTCGCGCCCCATCCCCGCCCCGACCACCACTACCACCGGCCCCACCACCACCACCACCTTTCACGCCCTCCCCTGGCCGTGCCAAGCCGACTCTCATCATTGCTCACGTTAATAGGGCAACAGCTCATCACGTCTGCTCGCAAATAGGGAAGGGCACGCGCGCACGCGTGCAATGGCAAGGTGCCCAACAGGGTGAGTCATTAGCGCAGTGGCTACTGTAAATACAGTAAAGCGACCCTCTCCAGAGGAAAATGTGGAGGACGTTGCCACTTTGTGGGTGGCAATGAGTGGCCAGTGTCCATACAAATGAGATGCAATAATGTGAAAAGGTGAACATTTCTCGATTGAAAGCTTCCGTGACTGCAGGGATTCATCTTCTTGGTTCTTTCGGTAAAGTCACGTAGAATCGAAATAATAAAATAATAAAATAAAAGATAATAAAATAATTCTCACGACGTTTCGGCCACAACGCAAGCAGCCGTCCTCAGGTGGAGAACAGGTCTGTCGAGGAGACAGAGTCTGAATTCAGACTCTGTCTTCTCGACAGACCTGTCTCCTCGACAGACCTGTTCTCCACCTGAAGGACGGCTGCTTGCGTTGTGGCCGAAACGTCGTGAGAATTATTTTATTATGTTTTATTTTTATTATTTTATTATTTACAGTTCTACGTGACTTTACCGAAAGAACCAAGAAGGTGAACATTTCGTTTGGAACTGTGTGCTTTAATGTCCATCACCGTAATCGCTGCCCAATACTTTATTTAAAATCAGACAACAGTCCACCGCGACTATTTGCAAAGGCAGACCTGGGATTGATCAACATCCTTTGACCAATTAGACATACGCTACTAAAATGGGTTTACGCCGTTAACAATCTGGCGTTGGGTGAAGGTGGCACAATTGAGGGCAGATGCAAATCGACATCGCAAATTAGGGCACCGTTGGAATTCCTCATTTAGCTGCGCGGCAGTGTTTGATAAAGCACAAACGTGGGTCGGCCTTGCTGTCCGACACAGGGGTATTGACAGCACTGCTGGTGTGACTCGTCATACTGTGCTTCTCTCAGAGCTGAATTGGGCCAACTATTTGGTAGCGAGATGTTAACTACATCGCCTAGGTCATGGGTTCGATTCCGACTCTGACGCCTGCTGTATATTTGAAGTTTGTGTGTCTCTCTCCCGTGGTCGCGTGATTTTTCCCACGCTT